CTATTCTATTCTATTCTATTCTATTCTATTCTATTCTATTCTATTCTTCATTCCATTATTCTACTCTATTCTATTATATTCTGTTCTATTCTATTCTATTTCATACCATTTTAGATAAGTGACTGTCTAGACCAGGGGTATCAAACTCGCGGCCTGTAGGCCGGATGCATCACGCACTTGCCACACCCGCACCTGGTTTAATGAAGGGGGGGGGAAGTCCTGATACATCATGTGATGCCACCACGACGAGGTGAGTTTGACAATCCTAGTCTAGACTCTTCTTAAAAACTTCCAGTGATGGAGCCCCCACAGTTTCTGAAGGCAACTTCTGTTCCACTGGTTAATTGTCCTCACTGTTAGGAAGTTTCTCCTGCATTCCAGGCTGCTTCTCTCTTTGATCAGTTTCCAACCATTGTTTCTTGTCCTGCCCTCTGGTGATTTGGACAATAATTTGGCCCCCTCTTCTTTGTGGCAGCCCCTCAAATACTGGAATACTGCTATGATGTCACCCCTGATTCTTCTTTAGACTGGCCAGACCCAAAACCTGCAGCTGTTCTTCCTATGTTCTAGTCTCCAGGCTCTTTGATCATCTTAGTTCACGGGCCTTCAAACTTGGCAAGTTTAAGACTCGTGGACTTCAACTCCCAGAATTCTGAGCTAACATGACTGGAGGAGGAATTCTGTCTCAGTTTCTCTTTTCTGAACTTTTTCCAAAGTCTCAACATCTTTTTTGTAGTATGGTGACCAAAAATTGGTTGTGGTATTCCAGGTGTGGCCTTACTAGGGTTCTGTAAAGCAGTACTAATACTTAATGTGATCTTGATTCTATGCCTCTGTTCATACAGCCCAGGATTGTTTTCTTGGCTGCTTATATAGTTATATCTAAATATATAAGATATATGAGAAAAATAGTGGACAACCCACATCCAGAAGCTTGAAAAACAGCACCACAATGCTGACTAGAATTCTCCAGAAACTGTCCCGCTCACAAGTTCCTGAGGGAAGATGAATAAGTTCCAAAAAGTTCAAAAGCATTAATGTACTTTGATTATTTTTCAGACTCTTTCTTTCAGGAGCTTCCATGAATTACTTGCCTTCCAAATCTAATAACCTGTGACTTCCTATGTTAAACCTTAGAGGATTTTGAACTTTTGCTGTGAAGGTTTGCTCGGGAACACAACTATTGTGGTTCGCTGGCAGCCTGTGCAGATGGCAGGGGGAAGAAGGGGGACCAGTCAGGGAGTCTGGAGACGACTCGAATGAGGGTCCTGCGTCCGATGCAGGGATGGGGCCAGGACCATCTGGGAGTTGTGTGCTGACTCTGGAGCCTCCAGAATCTGGCAGCAGCGAGGCAGAGGAACAAGGGGAGCCTGTTCCCAGTACACGTATGCACAGAGCTGCCAGAAGGCAACAGCAGCTGAGACAAAAGGGGCGACCTGGGAGTAAGGCTGGGAGTTGATTGCCCTTCCCATAAGGTACAAAGGACAGACCAAGATGATGAAACCTTTGCAGGAAGCAAAGTTGTTCGTTCGGTTCAGATTCATTCTTGAAGCTCTTTGTACTTCGGTTGGTTTTTGTTTCTAGTTCATTTGACACTTCTGTTAATGGCAGCACTTCACAGGGAAGAAAGGTGAGCGCTTATCTCGAGGGACTGTTTGAGATTCATTACCAGCTGGGAATGAAAATAATTCCCAGCATTGTAATAAAACAAGACTTGTTTTTAAAATAAGCATGTGTGTAATTATGGTCTCGGAAGCCTTGGTCAGAACAACAATTTGTTCAAAAAATGTCCTTGAAAGTCCCTCAAGAAAGCTGAATTGCATTACAGACTTTCCAATACTACCGAAACATCCCCTTCTGATCTCCTCATTCTCCATCCAAATGAAATGGACATTGTCCAAACTCTTTCTAAATCCCTTCAGTCTCCCTCTACCTGGCAAGAGCAGGACAATTGGACTATCTAGAGCAAATTTTCCTCCTATTCATACCAGCTCTTTTATTATTTATTACTTTATTATATATTCCATACCTCTACTCCAGGCTTGTGTGCGGCTACAAGATCCTTTATCATTCGGACTTCAGATACTGTTATGCCACCAACCATGAAGATGACCAGAATAGGGTGATCGCTTGGATGAGGTCGGCTCACCTGATCAAGAAAGAGAACAAATGTTTATGGAATCTGGTCTTTAATCCTATAAAAGCATTTTTTCTGTCTTGGGAGTGGTGGGGGACTACAAAAGAGAACTGAAAGAAACATCTCTCTTTTAAAACAGCTCACAGGTCTGAGAATAGAATAGAGTAGAGTAGAGCAGAACAGAATAGAGTAGAGAAGAGTGTAGAGTAGAGTAGAGTAGAGTAGAATAGAATAGAATAGAATAGAGTAGAATAGAATAGAATAGAATTCTTTATTGGCTAGGTGTGATTGGACACACAAGGAATTTGTCTTGGTGCAAATGTTCTCAGTGTACATTAAAAAAAGATACATTCGTCAAGAATCAAAAGGTACAACACTTAATAATAGTCATAGGGCATAATAAGCGATCAAATCATACTAGGAAACAATATAAATCATAAGGATACAAGCGACAAAGTTACAGTCATACAGTCCCAAGTGGGAGGGGATGGGTGATAGGAGTGATGAGAAGATTGATAGTAATAGCAGTACAGACTTTGTAAATAGTTGGACAGTGTTGAGGGAATTAGTTGTTTAGCAGAGGGATGGCGTTTGGGGAAAAATGTCTTTGTGTCTAGCTGTTCTGGTGAGCAGTACTCTAGAGCATCATTTTGAGGGTAGGTCATTTTGAGAAGACGAACTAAGGACATCATCCCATCGCTACCATCATGGTTTGCTATAATTATGAGGCAAGAGTTTCAGAACCAGGCTATTCTGTTAATAGCACAAAAGGTTTTTACTTTTCACTTTCCTCTCTCTGTCATTGCAATTTTACAGTCAATTTTACAGTCGTAGTCCTAAGATTGCTGGCCAGATCTAAAGGAGAATGAATGATGCTATTCTTGATAGCTAACTCGTTTTAATTCTTCTCCAGCATGATGATGAAAACTAAATAACAAAAGAAAGCAGAATGTGGTTTGCTTATTGATCTGTTGTTTGTTCAGCTTTCTTCAGTGAAAACTATGATGGTTTCATCCAGACTTTCTGAATTATCCATACAGGATAATTAATGCTTCTGCATTACAGCTACTACAAAATATCAATTTTGTTTTAAAAAAATAACACAAACATTGTCTTGCTATAAAGGTATAGAACAATCTAAAGCTAAATACATCTAATAATCGACTAATAATACTGCCTAATATTCATTTTGCTGCTAATATTTTCATGTTGCAATAAATAAGTAGTTTTGAACTTGCAGTTTGGACTGCTTTCTTTCAGATTTTGACAGCTAACAGTAAGCTCATAGGAAAAGAATCAGAATTTTAATAAAGTTATATATAAAAAAAGGAACCAGAACTAAAATGGCTTCAGAGAACAATTATGTTAAAAACGCCGCAGGAAACCGGCTCAGGGATAGATTTTGTGCACGTTCCTGATAAGATCATAAACAGCAACTGCTCTCATTTCTAAAGTAGGAATAACTGACCTATTTACAATGTTTATTAAAAGATGATAATGTGCTAAAACACACCGGTTAAGACCCAATACAGACCTACGGTGCTTCCGTTTATTGATTTTAAAGGGCTTGTCTGTGCAAAAGTGTGACAAAGAGAAACATATAATTACAGACTAGGTGGGTTTTTTTTGTTGTTAGCAGATTGTTGATATTACAAGAATGTGCCAATTAACCCATTTTACAGATGAGGTCATTCTATTCTGGCACTGGTCAGCCTTTCCAGGTCAAGGGGGAAAAGATACCTCTTCAAACCTTCTCACAAACTCAAGATTTAGAAGGAAAAAAAAGACAAAATGATTAAAAAGATTTATCCTTTATCCTTTGCAGCAAAATTGGGTTCATTGGAAGTGTCCTAATCTCTTGTACATTTACTAGCTCGATACCAGTGCTTCGGTACAAAACTATATGGTCGGGCTTAGTTTTGGGGGAGGAAAATGGTGGTGGTGGTGGGGAATTCTGCCTCTGCCTACCAGCATCCATCAGTATTCATCTAGCTAGAGTCCTGTCAGTGTGTGAGAGAGCTGAGGGCTGTTTGGAAACTGAAGCAGGATTTGCTGTGTGAGCAAGGAGACAGCAAGGAGCCTGGGTGTGGCTTAGCTCAACTGTTCTGTACCAAAGCTGCTTGGTACTGTGAAACTAAAACTGAAACTCCTCTCTTCTGCTTGTGTTTTACATTTGGAACAGATTTCTTTTCAGATGCGGAGGGGGAGTAGAACTCCTTAGCATCAGAGCGTGTATATTAATAATAATATAGGAAATACTAACGCTCCGATGGTCATTTTGAAAAATCCTTTCTTAGTGAGCACCTAGAAGCCATACGTGTACTCTTTTCAAACTTGGATACTGTCCTCTTTTTAAAAAAAATTGCCAGTCTACATGGACAGATTACCTATCTAGAATCTCTAATCTGTGCTCTCCAAGCAGAAATTAAGTGCCCAATCCAGCCATCTGTTGAGCTGCCGTACTACCAGCCTCCACTACCACAAAGATCCTACAGGAAAACGGCAGTATGGACAACTGTGGGATCTGGCAGGGTAAGAGCTATATGGACCATAAACACAAAGCTTTTGCTGTGTCCCAGCATAACAGATACAATGCCCTTGCTGACCTTAAAAGGGACACTAAAGTGACAGGTCAAGGTAGTTGTGATAATGATAACTTAAGTAAGCCAGGGATCATGGTCCTAGAAGAAGAACTTACTTTGGAAAGGAGAAAGTGTGGATCAGGTATTACGCACCAGTCACACAAGAAGAGCAAGGCATCCAACAAGAGAAGCCACCTTCTGGTTGGGGACTCAACTGTAAGGGATGCAAATTTAGGAAAAAATACGGAGGTTTTGAAAGAGGTCAGGTGTCTACCAGGTGCTACTGCCAGCAGAGACAAGAAGCGTATTCTTAAGATAGTCAAGAATGCCAGCAAGGACTGTGATGTTGATGCTATTATACATCTTGGTACAAATGACCTGTCCCAGAAGGATGTACTTTCTGTTCAGAAAGACTTCCAAGACTGTACACATATAGACTGGGTGAAACCAGGCTCAATAGCAGTAACTGTGAGAGGGATCTTGGAGTCTTAGTGGACAACCAGCTAAATAGGAGCCAGCAGTGTGCAGCAGCAGCCTAAAAAGCTAATGCAATCCTAAATTGTATTAACAGAGGGATACAGTCAAGATCAAGGGAAGTACTAATACCACTCTATAAAGCCTTAGTAAGACCACACCTAGAGTACTGCATCCAGTTTTGGTCACCACATTATAAAAAAGATGTTGAGCCTCTAGATATAGTACAGAGAAGAGCAACCAGGATGATTAGGGGACTGGAGGCTAAAACATACAACGAACGGTTGCAGGAACTGGGCTTGGCTAGTCTAGTAAAGAGAAGGACCAGGGGAGACAGGATAGCATCTTCCAATATTTGAGGGGCTGCTACAGAGAGAAAGGGGGTCAAGCTATTTTCTAAAGCTCCTATAGGCCAGACAAGGAATAATGGATGGAAACTGAACAAGGAGAGATTTAACCTGGAGATAAGGAGAAACTGTCTGACAGTGAGTGCAAGCAACCAATGGAACAGAAGTTGCCCTCGGAAGTTGTGGGAGCGCCACCACTTGAGACTTTCAAGAAGAGATTGGACTGCCATTTGTCAGAAATGGCGTAGGGTCTCCCGGTTGGGAGGGGGGTTGGACTAGATGACCTACAAGGTCCGTTCCAACTCTGATGATCTGTAATCTGTAAACATGCCAAATTTCAAGTTTGTAGGCTTTACAGTTCTGGAGATTTTGTGATGATGTGTGATTGGTCTTTCGCTTATATATATATAGATTTTGAAGATAAATACCTATATTTAAAAATCTCTCATTCACCCCATCAGAATGATATATATGAGACATTGAAATTTGAAGTTGGTGTCACCTCCGTTACCTGTTGTTTCCTTCTGTCTCTTGGTCAGTCAGAAGGTTATGAATAGTTTAGGCATTTGAACAATGCACTGTATGAACAGATAATGTATCATTTATTTCTCTTGAAAGAAATCAATCAACAACATCCTTCCTTCCCCCTGTTCAAGTGATTGTCAAAAGGGCTTATATGCAGCTACTAGAAATGACTGCAAATATCCATAGGACCACCAATATATAGGGAGAGACAGATACAAAACATCTATAACCCTCTATTATAGGTACCATATGGTGATCATCTGGGATATGGCCACCAGATTTGGTAGCCCAAGATTATATCCCTCTCCCACCCCCTCACCCCGTTTTTTTCACTCTGTACAAGATTCTACTACATCTCTAGTTTGTAAATTGCCTGCCTCCATACATTCTCTTAGCTTCCTGGACTCGTTCCTCATAAGGAAATGGCCGGTTAATCCTTGATTTGCATTCTAACCACACAACAAAATGTCTTTCATCACATCCTTGTGCTTGCATCTATAATACTGCTAGAGACCTAATGCACACATAATTTGGAACACACATTCCAAAGCACCAGAAGACAAGACAAGAAACAATGGTTGGAAACTAATCAAGGAGGGAAGCAAACTGGAGTTAAACTTCCTGACATAGGATGTTATACCCTTAAACTACAGGCTTAATACAAGGAATTTGACAACTGCACAGCATAAATGGGATTCTCCATGCTCTTACTATGGCCAAAAGACTGATACTGCAGCATTGGGAAGATATCTGAATAGAATAGAATTCTTTATTGGCCAAGTGTGATTGGACACACAAGGAATTTGTCTTGGTGCAAATGCTCTCAGTGTACATAAAAGAAAAGATACATTCATCAGGTATCATAATAAACGATAAATAAATAGTCATATAATAAATAGTCATATAATAAATAGTCATAGGGCACAATAAGCAATCAAATCATACTAGGAAACAGTCAATATAAATTGTAAGGATACAAGCGACAAAGTTACAGTCACAAGTGGGAGGGGATGGGTGATAAGGAGTGATGAGAAGATCAACAGTAATAGTAGTGCATACTTTGTAAATAGTTGGACAGTGTTGA